CCTGCCCACAGGCCACTGCAGCTCAGGAGGACTGCCCTCCAGGCCTGCCTGTTCCTGCTTCAATCGTGCTCTCCTCAAGACCGTCAGAAATAGCCCGCAGCCGGCCCTCTGCCCTGGTTTCTTTTTCCAAAACCAGTTGTTGGTCTTGGAACATTCAGTCCCAAGCGCTTTACTCCACCCTGGGGAGTGCACTAGAAGGACAGGTATTAATAGTGATGCTTGTCCTCTGAGGGAGCGCCAGGGTCCTGTCTCCTGCTCCCCTGGTGACCCTCAGCCTCCAACCCCGGCCCAGCCACCTCGTTCCAGTCCTTTGTCACCACCCACACGCTGCCGTGACCCCTGCCTTAGGATTCAGTGCAGCAAACGTTTATCGAGCCCCTAACTCCAGGTGAGTGCCTGGCCTGGTTCCACTAGCCCATTACTCACCCATTCCTGGTATTTCAGCCAGCCTGGCCAGCGCTCCCAGCCAAGCCCCTGCCCACCAGCCCCCAAGGACACAGCCACTGTCACTCTGTTTGCCCTGCACCCCAGCCACCCCAGGCAGCCTCCTCCTGCATCCCCTCCCTTACACATGGCACCTGTCCCCAGCCCACCCCACCCCCTCCCAGGGTTCCCCTCTGCGCTGCTGCCAGGAAAGAGGGATGAAAAGGTGTGTGGTCTGCCCTCTCAGGTGTTGAAGCCCCTATGTAACAGCAGATGAGGAAATCGTTTGGAACGATTTGCCCAAAGGCTCATCTTTTCAAAGCAGTCATCATGGTGTGACTGCAGGCCTTAATTTGGGGCCACGCCCACTGCTTACCTTGGCCCAGTCTGACCTCTTCTTGTCCTCGGTGCTGCCCAGACACGTGCTCATCCTGGACACCCTCACTCAGCACACACCTGCTGGGCCACATCACTTACAGATGCACCCTGCCCCCTGGAACCCACCTGAAGTCATTTGCAAACGAGCGCCCTGGGGCTGGTCAGAAACACTGGGACTTCCAACACCCCCCAACCCCACACCCCCACCCCCGCAGTGGCGGTGCAGGCCCAGAGTGCTTTCTCACACACACCCTGTCTGCCAGACCAAAGAGCCTCCATCCATGGGGGCTGGGGCTGGGGGTTGGCAGACCGGCCAGGGCGGGAGTGGAGGGTGTCCTTCTGCCTTCTCTGTGCACCCTTCCTGGTTCAGGAGCTGTTTCTGAAAGGTCTCACGGGGGTCTGAGGGCTGTCACTCCCATGATGCCAGCAGACTCCTCCATCGCAGCCTCGGGGCTCCCGCCCCCATGCTCAAGCCCTGCTCATGCCCCGCAGCAGGCCGTCCTGGGGCCAGTGCCCGGCATGGCCGTGCCCCACAGCCTCTGCCCCAGCCTATTGTTGGGGCTGAAGGGAAGCACTTTCTTCCCCTCAGCCCGGGCCCCGCCGACCTCCGGGTCTTCCTTCCAGCCATGCCATGACTGAGTGCGGGCGGATGACCGACGCCGAACGAGACCAGATCGACCAGGACGCGCAGCTCTTCATGAGGACCTGCGCCGAGGCCATCCAGCAGCTGAGGACCGAAGGTACCAGATGGGGACTCACAGGGGAGCTGGCCACTGCCCAGACCAGCTGCAGCTCCAAGTCCCCCTCTAGTCTGCCCTGCTCACGTTGTAGCCTCCGCTTCTCAAGGGGATGGTAAAGATCTACAAGGGGCTTCCACTTTTAATCCCACTGTCCTGAGAAGTGTGTGCGTGCATGTAATATGAACGTGTGTCTGTGCATGTCACATGAGCGATGGATAGGCCCTCCACTCACATCACTCAGTGCAGATTTGCACACGTGGGGCTCCTTGCGCACAGTCCTCCTTTGAGCACTGTGTGTGTTATGCATGCTCCCCGGCCGTGTCAGGTGCGGTGGGACAGCATGAGGACAGCTGTGTGGGGTCGCCTGTGTGCTGGCCCGAGCAGAGCTGCCGCTGGTGGTGGAGAGAGGGCTGGCAGAGGGAGGCTGGGCGCACCGCGTCCGGCATGGTGGCAAGTGTGGCAATGGGTGCAGTGAGTGCCTGGCTTGTGGTTCCTTGGGGAGAGGGGAGCCATGGCGGCTGCAGTGTGGTGGTGGTGCTAGGAGCTAGTGGGGGGCTGCCAGTTCAAACCCACCAGCCCCTCCTCAGGAGAAGGGGCAGGCCATCGGCTCCCGGGAAGACTGGCAACAGCTGACGTCCCCTACGGGTTCCGGGTGTCGTGTGAAGGACGGCCTGAGCACTGGGCCCCCTGGGTGCCCTCGGAGTGCACTCACAGTGGTGTCACAGCCACACGGCTCCCCCAGCATGTCAGTGAAGGGTGGTCTCCTCTGCTCAGCCCTCAGGGCAGCGTCCTCCCCGCAGGTGAAGGAGCACCGAGGTGTCGTCCTGGACTTCATCCAAGACTACCTGAAAAGTACGTCCTGCCTTCTTGGGGGGGCGGGCTGAGCACGCTGTCTGAGGGTGCTCATGGGGGTCATCGTGGTAATGCGCGCTATCCCGCCCTCCCCAACAGGAGTGTGCAAACTCTACTCGGAGCAGAGAGCCGTGCGCGTCAAGCGCCTGGTGGACAAGAAGAGGCTGTGAGTCTTCCTCAGGCACTGGGCCCCACGCTGCCTCTGGCGGCTGGCCGCTGGGCCAGGCAGGAGCATCGCCACAGTTGTGGGGAGGGCAGAGGAGGGCAACCCCAGGAAGCAGGTCATGCGCTGCCCTTGATGTCCAGGTCAGGGGCCCACTTGCTCTGCTTCTGTTTGGTGCCAGCTTGGCAGGGTTACCTGGGACTCTGACCCCCTGAGGGAGGAGCTGGCACATGGCCCATGGCCCCTGGAAGGCTTCCCCAGAGCACCCAAGCCCCGGTGCTACTGCAGGACAGAGCGCTGAATGCCGTGCTCAGGCAGGAGCTCTAGGTGGCAGAAAGCCGCACAGGCTAAACGACTGGCCCAAGGCTGCGTGGCCAGAGCTCAGCCGGGAAGCCAGGCAGAGTCTCTCCAGCAGTCCCTGGGCTTGCCTGCCCCTGCACCCCCTAATTTCGCTGCAAACTGAAAGGCTGGTTGTTCAAAACCACTGTCTTCAGAAGAGACGGGTGACCGCCTGCCTCTGGCGCTGGCAGCATGGAGCCCCGTGGGCAGGGCTCCCTGGGGCTTGCAGGGTCGCTCGGAGTTGGGGTGGACTTGACAAAGCCTGGGCAGTAGGAGCCGCAGTTCAGCCCCGACAGCACGTCACCTCCCTCCCTTCCACCCTCACAGGATTCTATGGTTAACTATGTTACCACTCCGCTGCACCTGGGCTCCGTGCTCAGGGTCGCCCAGCTGAACTTGGCGGTGAACCCAGGGCAGCTGTGGTGCATCTCCCAAACCTGTGTTGCGTGAGTGGATCGGAGGCAAGCCAGCAGCACAGGCTGGGGTGGAGAGATCCGGCATGCCCACTGCCCTCGTGCCCTGGAGCGGCTGTCGCAGCGCCAGCCCCCGCTCAGCTGGGCAAGCTAAGAGGATGCTCACTCTGCATGAGGGCTTGCTTGTAGGGAAGGCTCCCGGGAAAGGCCTGGTCCTCTGAGCCTCTCGCCAGCATCCCATGGAGAGCACCGAGAGTCATGGCCCCAGTCTTTCCCCGGGGCTAGGCGCTAGGGACCCCAGGTCCGAGGAATACACTCTGCTCCCAGCTCTTCTTTCTCGGGTCCCTTCTCCTTTTATGCTTCTAAGATAAAGGGCGAGGCAGGCTCCCAGCCCGACCCCTCCTGCTGGTTTATCTCACCTGATGGCATCACGTGGCTGCCAGGCCAACGAGCAGCCCAGCCATCTGGGCACATGCTCAATCCATGACAGACGGGTCAGCTCTGAAGATGCGGGGTCCTCCCTCAGGATTGTGGTGGCCTGGGGCAGAAGTGCAAGTCCTGCATTTGCCACGGGTGGACCGGGGACTTCGGGCCCTGCGTCAAGTAAAACCTGGTTCTTGGTGGGTAAAATCCGTCTGACAGGCTCACTGTAACTGAGACAGGGACAAGCAGGCTCCGTCGGCCGGCAGCTGCCTGAGGGCAGTCAGTCCTGTCACGGAGGTGGTGATGGTTTTGTTTGGTGCCCTTCCATCTGCGAGGGTCTCCCTCTCCCTCCCAGGCCCTCTGCTTCACCAAGGGTGATGCCCCCTCCAGCCATGGAGCCCTCCTGAGGACCGTCCAAAGCCAGTGACAGACGATGCTGTGACCGGGGGAGGGGTTTGACAATGGTTGCCCAGCCCTTCCTCCTAGCTCTCCATCAGAGGTCCCATGCAGGCGGCAGCAGAGGACTCATGAGATAGTGAACTGCAGAAAGGAGCACAGGAGGGACCACTGCCCGGGGCACTGTTGACTCAGCCGCCCAGGGGTCGGGTTTCTGTGGTGCCTGACCCTGGGGGGCTGGATCAGAGTGACAGCCGCATAGCCAGGCCCAGAGACCAGGCCCAGAGACGGAGAGGGCTGGGAGAGAGCTGGAACTGGGGCTCCCGGGAACTGGCGGCTCCTGGGAGCAGGCGTGTTGTGGACAGGGAGTCTGGACCCCCATATTGTTCCAGAAGGCAAGGCAGGTCTCAAGGAGGGTGGAGAGCCAGTCTGCAGGGGCTCACATGGCAGGGCTCCAGGGTGCCTCCCTCAGTCAGCGTTCTAGACTTCAGGCCTTGCGCCCCGTGACAGTGCAGACCGCCCCTTGTCCTCCCCTCAGAGTGGCTTCCAGGTTGGAAGCTTTAGCCCAAAGCTTACCCAAGGGCCCACCAGGGCTCCTCGCGGTGTCAGCTGCCGTTAGTAGTCCTTCGCTTACGTGTGTCTCCTTTGGCCTTCTCAGAGTGGCAGCGCTGATCGCAGCCACTGTGCACTCGGTCTTGTCTGTCTGAGGTCTGCCTGCACTTTCCACAGTGACCCCACAGGACGGAGGAAGGCGGCCCCCCAGGGTTTCCAGGGCAGTCATTCTGTATGGAAGCCTACGGCCATCTTTCTGCCGCCCAGTGGCTGGTGTATTCCAACCACGTCCTTCCAGTTAGCAGCTGTGGGCTCTCCCCACCCCCTCCCCACCCATACCAGCAGGGTGCCCAGCCATCACAGGGGCACTCGGTGTGGAATGGTCGGCATTAGTGCACACCCGTGAGCCTCCTGGGCTGGAGCTAGGATGAACCAGCCCTAACTGCCCGCCCGACCCCACCCCCCACCCCAGGGCTGCTGGCACAGCCTCCCTGGGTCACATATGCTGCCACGCTCCTCTGCAGATGCCCGGCCCCCAGAGGACAAGGATGATTCTTCCCTTTGTAGGTCTAAGCTGGAGCCAGAGCCTAGCACAAAGCCCCGCGAGCCCCTGTCCCCCGAGGCAGTGTCCCAGGACCCTTCCAGAGACTCGGAGGAGAAGCCCGCCCCTGAGGACGCTCCAGGTACGTCAGCATGGCCCAGCCAGCGAGGCCTTGTCACTCAGGTGGGGAGGAATTCACGAGGGAGAGCCCTGCCGGGCACTCCAGCCCTGCTTGTCCTTTCTTTACGTGGTCTGCTGTGACGGCCCGGTGGTGATCAGAGCAGCCCTCCACCGGCAACTCTCAGTGGATCTGTGAGGCAGGCTCTGTCCAGCTCGCCCCGCCTGGGGCCAGATTCCTCGCTGTCCAGTGGACTCCCACCCAGCAGCCTCAGGGCACAGAGCAGAGCTGCCCACAGGGATCTCACGGCTGCCATCTTCACAGGAGAGGAGGGGAGAGTGCCCAGTGGCGGTCTTGCAGAGCACGGGGGCAGGCCCATGAGGCCTGTCCTGCAGGGGGGCAGTGAGTCTGGCTTGTTCCTTTGCACTGACGCAGACTGCCCCATCACTGTCCACGCTGAGAGCCACTGGTGCCTTCAACCCTTCCACACCTTCCCTTCTCAGCTGCTCTGCCAGGGCTCCGAGAGGTCCCCTCAGAGACTCCCTCCTGCCTGTGGGCACTCATAGTCCCAAGGACCAGGCTCTGCCTCGAGCAGAGGGCATAAGTGGGGGTGGGGGTGGGGGAGGTGCCAGGAACTTAGAATGTTCTAGAGGGCGAAATGAGGCAATGCTGGGAGCTGTGGGGTATAGTGGGAAGGGTGCGGGGTGGACCACAGGGAGCTGGTCCCAGGCGGGTACATGGCTGTGGGGTGGACTGGCCAGCCTGACTTGGGGCAATAGGATTTCTCGCTCTAACTCAGGGTCTCTGTGTGCTTGGTTCCCAGGACCAAAATGTCTGTGTGTCTCATTCTGGTGTCTTGTACTTAGAGAGCCAGAGGCTCCAGTGGCATAGTGGTCGTGTCTGGAGATGTTAAACACGTGGTTAGCAGTTTGAAGCCACTAGCCGCTCCTCGGGAGAGAGTCAGGGCTGGAATATCCACCCACCCCCTGCCCCAGCTAAAGCAGGGTAAACCTGAACCTGGGCCCCAGCCTGCTCCCCATCTCATTCACTCACTCATTCAATCTCTCACACACATACACAGCTAGGAACGTGCATACATGGACAGTGTCGGCTCCAAACCAGGAGGACACATGCATCGTGTGGGTGGGTGGGTGGGTGTTGGGGGGTTGGAGGTGTCCTCTTGTCCCATGTGGGTCACCACCCTTCTACTTTTCTTTCTTTCTAGTGGAAAAGCACTCGCCTGACGCCCGGCCGGAACTGGGGAACTGGGGGGAAGGGAGAGGCGAGGACGAGTTGTCCCCGGAGGAGATCCAGATGGTAAGGCGCCTGCCTGTCAGTGACGAGGAGGAGGGAGGAGGAGGGAGGCTACCGTGTGCTGGCCCCCAGCACCTGCAACCTGAGGGGCTCCGCTTGGTGGTCAGGCTGGCCACAGCTTAGTGTGCCCAGGGCCGGTAAGGTCAGGCGTGCATCCATCACACTGCAGCATCGGCCACTATCGGGGCTGGCTCCTCAGTGGTGGGAATTTGCTAGAGTTGTGGTCATTTGAGGCCAGCGTAAGACCACCGTCACCCTCGTTGGCTCTCCGTTTAGTGAGGCGGCTTCTGCTCCCTGGTTGTCAAGTACAATTTCCAGTGGGTTTCCAAAGAAGCCCGGGGTCTGTGTGCAGCTCGGCTGGGCCTCGGCAGGGAGAGGACTGGAGGAAGCCCTGCCTGGTGCCCTGCGCTGCTGTGTCCACCCTGCATGCCAACCAGCAGCTGTCACTGTTGTTGCTGCTGCTCTTAGTGCCGAGTCAGCTCCTGCTCGGAGCAGCCCGACCTGGACAGGAGGAAAGCACGGCAGCCCTCCGTCTACATGACCCTCCACCCTGAGGAAATGCAGAGATTACATAGCAGCACCGATGCTGTCACATGCACAGAACTGGTGCGCCAGTGCATCGACGGGAAGCTGCTAGAAAACCTAGGGACGGGACTGAGAGCGAGAGGTAGCATGAGTGATGGCAGGTGGATCTCGGCTGACAGTAGAGAATGCCAGACAGATGTGTACTTGTGTTTTGTTGCCTGTGTGGGTCTTAACAAATTATGAATAACCTCGAGAAGAATAGGCATTCCAGAACGCTCCGTCGTGTTCTTGCGGAGCCTGTACGTAGACCAGGAGTCAGTCCTTCACACAAAGGGAGCTACTGCACGGGCTGAGATCAGGGTTGCACCCGCTCGCCATATGTATTCACTCTGTGTACCGAGCACGCAGGAACCCGGCGTGAGAGTGGGCGGAAGACTTACTGACCCTGTAGGTGACACGGCCTCACTTGGTGACAGAGAGGAGGACGGAGAGGACTTGATAGAATCACAGACTGGCCTTCAGGACAGATTGCTGCTCAGTGTCAAGAAAAGCACAGCCCTCACTCGAACCAGTGGGCAGCACGTGGCAACCATCACTGCCCGCAGAAGCAGCAAGGCGGAAATCAAAGGCTACACTGCACGAGGCAAATTTAAATCCTGACAGAACAAAGATGTCCGTCCGTCTCCTCAAGGGCCTGCCTCTTTCCCGCTGCCCTCCACTTTACCAAACTTGATGTCCTTGTCCAGGGACTGGTCTCTCCTGACAAGATGCCCAAGTATAGGGGATGAACTCTCACTGTGCTTGCCTCTCAGGAGCACTCTGGCCACACTGCTTCCCAGACTGGTCAGTTTGCCCTGTGGGCAGTCCGTCATGGCTGTTTAGGTGTTCCTCCCCAGCACCACATTCAGACGCAGCGAGTCTTCTTCAGTCTCCCATAGTCAGCATCCAGCACCCACCTGCACGGGACGCCATGGAGCTCACCGTGGCCGGGGAAGGATCAGCAGAAAACTGGAAGGCCCGAGCCAGGGGCACCGCCCCGAGCTCAAGCAGCCAGTGGTGAGGCAGGACTGGGCCGAGCTTCCTCCTGTCAGCCGTGGGCTCCCTGTGACGGGGAAGCGACTGCAGATGGGAGGCACAAGTCGCCGTGGATTCAGGACCCTGTTGCAGACCCTTGATTGCCCAGTCCTGTCTCTCCATTGGGAATAGTAGCCGAGAGTGACCTCCCAGCTCAACCGGGAACACGAAGGGAAGGACTGTGTGTGGGCGGGTCTGCAGCACATGTGGTCGTCATTCATAACCGTCGTCCTCTCTTGAGGGCCGGAGGGCCGGCGCAGCAGCCCCCCCACCCCCTGCCCCAACCCGGGGGGAAAAACACTAAATTGAGCCCGATAACAGCGATTTGATTTGGGATTTCACCCAGAGGAGCGGCTGCCAGCTGTCCCCAGAACAGGGAGGAGGTGTGGGCTGAGTGGGCCCCGCTGGTTCTGCTGCCCTCCCTCTCTGCTCTCAGGTGGAACCACCTGCCTGTATGGAGCCTGTCCCAGGCCGGTTTTTAGAGACACAAGGCTGGCTTCTGGGTCTCCCATCCCCCAGCCCTGGCCTTTTGTCCTCCGAGGCCTCTCATGTCAGGATGCTTGCAGAAGCACCAACGAGGGAGGTTAGGCCCAGAGGGACAGCTGCGCAGGGACTGCTGTCCCGGCCCAGGGCCCCTTCCCCTGTGGCCTCCACCGTCCCCATCAGCAGGCTTCTCCAGTGGCGGGTGACCCGAGCCCGTGGGAGGGGTGCTTGTCCTGTGTAGGCGGTGCAGGTGCAGAGAGGTGGGAACGGGGTCCAAGGGAGTCAGCCACCGAGTCACGGCTTGGCCAGCCTGGAGCCCCTGTAGCAGGGTCGGGCTCTGGTGGCACCCTTGTCAAGCACTTGGCTGCTTTCCGGAGCTCCAAGGTTCCGGCCACCAGGTGCAGAGAAGGCAGCGGCCGTGGACGGGCTTCCCCTAGAGGCAGGCAGCCAGGGGAACCCTGTGGAGCATCACGGGTGTCTTCCGGGGCAGTCAGCTCACCATCACCAACAAGCACAGAGAGGGCCGTGCCCTGCCCAAGGCCACACAGCTGAAGGTCGGGGAGCTGCATTTGAGGCCATGTCCTCAGGCAGCAGAGAAGGCCATCTGCATGTCTGCTCACAGGGTCCCTGGCAAGCCTCGGGGGAGGCCTTGGGCTGCTTCCGGCCTCACTGCACAGGCAAGAGGGGAGGTGGAAAGGGGGGCCCAGGAAGTGTCAGGGGCAGCACTGAGAGAGCCCCTCTCTGGGTGCCAGGGAGCCCCTGAGCCCTCCTCAGAGCCCCACAGGCAGGAGAGGTACCCATCAGCAGATGGGGGATGGGCACTGTGCAGTCGGACAGGTGAGGGCACAGAAGGCATGCGAGTGCCCGTAGGGGAGAAGAGGCATCCCGACCACACCTGGAATGGTGTTAGCAGGGTGGGTGCTCGAGAAGGGGAGGGGGCACCTGGAGGTACCCAGGGGGCAGTGCTGGAGAGGGGGTGGGAGGCAGTGGGGAGGGAGAGACTGAGGTGGCACCCAGCACCATCCTGGGGGGCATTGGGGATCCCAAAGCCACTTTGTGTTCCTCCAGTCCTGCTCTGAGGGCAAGTGGAGTAGAGCAGGCTCCGGCCCCAGTGAGCACAGTCACCCAGGGGGACATGCAGTGTACCCACAGCTGTGACAGCCCCGCAGCCCTGCCTGCGGCCTAATGCTGAGCCCAGAGTAACGTGGCTCCGTGGACCTGTCCCTTCACAGTTTGAACAAGAGAACCAGCGGCTCGTCGGTGAAATGAACAGCCTGTTTGAAGAAGTGAGGTATGTGCAGCAGCTGCAGGAGGACCATTCCAGAGGGCCCAGCACGTGCTGTCCACTGAGCCATAGCCAGGCCTCCTTGTGGGCAGTGGACGTGCTTGCCAGAGGCCCTGGTGGCGGCGCCTGTGGGGTCTTTACGGAAGCCCCTGCTGCATTGTGGGCACTTCCCAAAGGTCAGGTGGTCACAGGGCCTTGGGGCCTCCCAGGGCAGTTGTGTATTCAGTAGGTCCTTCCTGAGCATTTTGTCCCTGGGCTCACAAGGCCGCAGCTGCAGCTCCATCTGCCTTCCTGCTCTGCCCCCCACCTCACCCTGTCCACTGAGACCTCATCCCAGAACAGCCCTGCCTCCTGGGTTTGCCTCTCGACCCCACCCCTGCCTGCTGCAGGCATTAGCACAATGGTCCTCAAACTTTTTAAACAGGGCCATTTCACTGTCCCTTAGACCCGTTGGAGGGCCAGACTATAGTTTAAAAAAAAACTATGAACAAATTCTTAAGCACACTGCACATATCTTATTTTGAAGTAAAAAACAAAAGGGGGCAAAAACACCCGGCGGCCTGGACAACTATCCTCGGCGGGCCGCATGTGGCCCGTGGGCTGTAGTTTGAGGACCCCCGCTAGCGCCTAGCAGTTAGATGTACCTGTAGCACCCCAGCCACCCTGGGCACAGCAGGATGGTTCAGAGGTGGCCGGGCTGGTCAGAGAGGGGGCCAGTGAAGAGTCTGACCCCCTCCCTCCATTCTGGGTGGCACTGACCCCCAGACTGTATGGGGACATGGGGTTGTGGAACAGGCACAGCTGGGTGCCACACCCCAGGGCCCACCTGGTTCAGAATTGGAGACCATGCGGTGCCCCCAGGTGTCAGCACCTGCTTACTTGATGGTTGCTGAGGGAACGGGAGGTGCAGCCACTGGCAGATGGGACCCCTTCAGCTGGCTGCCCTCCCCATGGGTGACCTGCCTCGGACACGACCCGCTTGTTCCTCTGTTCGTTCAGGCAGATAGAAGGTAAAGTGGTTGAAATCTCCAGACTCCAAGAGATATTCACGGAGAAGGTCTTACAGCAGGTAGGTGGAGGGGCGGTGGGGTTGTAAGTTTAGCTTAAAAGGATGCAGGACTGTGCGTGTGGAGCCCACGGACACTGGGGGTGATGAGGTCACCTAGGGTTCTGGAGACATGCTGGGCAGTGCAGCCGGCTGATGAGGGAGGCCTGGCTACCTCCCAGGGTGAGCTGAGTCACCCCTTCTGAGCCACATTGCAAGAGGGAGGTGACTGACCCCTGCAGGACTGCTGGGAATTTTGCAAAAACCCTCCAGCCAGCACCTGGCAGGAGACAACCCCAGTCATGCATGAGAGTGTGTGTGTCCATCCGAGGGCCCCTCCAAGTGAGGCAGGTTCTCACAGGAAACAGTCCTGCCACACCACACTCTCGGACAACAAATACAGGGGGAAATGGGATTAACAGAGGATGCCATTTGCCCAGAAGTTTCTGAAGCCCCTCACAGTCCTCACGGCACACCCACCTGCAGTTTTCAGCCACTACCTGGCACAGTGTGTAGTGTTGGGACCCACGCATAGTTCCCAGATGTACAGCAGAGCGGGACACAGCGGCCCTGCACTCACTGCCGTCCTGTGCCCCAGGGGCAGCAGCCGGGTCAGCCCATCTCCTGCAGGCAGAGCCCCCGCCGTGGAGCCACCCGACTGCCAGCCAGGCGGCAGTCTTTCTCTCCAGAGCGGCTTCCCCAGAGGGCCGGAGGAGGGCGCGCCTTTCTCTAAGGGCTCCCACCTGCCAGGAGTGCCCTTCCTTGGCCGGAGGAGCAGGGGCGGCTCACCTGTAGGCCCTGTTCTCCCCCAGGAAGCTGAGATCGACAACATCCACCAGCTGGTGGTTGGCGCCACAGAGAACATCAAGGAAGGCAATGAAGACATCCGAGAGGTGGGTGCTGCGCGAGGGGCCAGAGCCCTGAACCCGAGAAACTGGCCGCTGTGACCCGTAGTCCCAGGCCCCGTTGGTACTTTCTACAATACACATGGGCCAGATCTGTGTGGTGTGTATGTGTGTGCGTTGAGGGTGGGGGGTGGGGTGTCAGTGTATACACGAGTCTCAGAGGGCACAGACGAGCATGTCCTATGTAGTAGAACCCCAGCACAGCACCCACGGGCACTGGCGCCTGCCCCATGTGGTAGCAGTGGGGATGGGGGCATCTGACCACTGTGATCCGTGCTTGCCCCAGGCCATCAAGAACAACGCCGGCTTCCGCGTGTGGATCCTCTTCTTCCTCGTCATGTGCTCCTTCTCCTTGCTCTTCCTTGACTGGTATGACAGCTAGAGCCTGCGAGCTGCGCCTGCTGGAGCCGCACCCCGCCCGGCGGGGCACACGGGCCCCAGCGTGGGGCCCATCAGTAGCCCACACGGAAACGAGACCGCACGACGCAGGTGAACCATGAAACTGTCCTGGTGAGACGGCTTCCGGGGTGCCTACTGCCACGTGCCACGCACAAGTGGCTGCTAACAGGGAGTCGCGGGCACCAGGGCGCTGCAGGCCCCAGCTTGTCTCAGGTCCTTGCTGCCCGTCCGGCCCCAAGAGCATCTCCTTTCAATAAAGTCAGGAAACTGCGGCGGCGCCCTGTGCCTTCTCTGAGTCGGGAGCACCCACTCTCCGGGCACAGAAACGTGACTGGCGGTCTGGCTGGCACTTTGTTCACGTGGCCGCTACCCCCACCCCTCCCCTCCCCCTCGCTCAGAGCTGACAGGACCTGCGGAAGGCCTGCACCCCAAGAAAGAGCGGGTGGGTCCGCGCATGTGCAAAACACATCAGCAGGGGCGGGGCCGGACAGATGCAATGAACACGCCCATCTGCGCTGCGTGCCATGGGTAGGGCAGGGGCGTGGTGTTTTGGACCGGGCGAGCTGGGGTTCAGCGGGTGCACTGATGCCTGTGGCAGCGTGCCAGCATAAGTGGGGCGCAGTCTCCCTCTGGGTCGTGGTATGGTTATGCACCAGGCTGCCATCTGCATGGTCGGCACCTCCACAGGAAAGTCTCAGAAACCCACCCAGGGTCGCGATGAGTCAGCACTGTGTGGCTTTGGGGCGGCAAGTCCCACGCCCGACACCCCCGCAGGTGCGCTGTGCACACCCACCTGTGGGTCGGGGCCCTTGTCACCACTGTCCGGAGCCGCCATGGGCGCAGTCACCGCGCTTGTGCTCACAAACAGCTCCCACGTGCGTGCCTGCGTCCTCGTCCTGACCTACCTGGCCACAGGCAGGCCCTGAACCGCGCCCTCGCCCAGCCCCCACGACGGTTCCCACCACACGGAGACGGCAGGGCAGGCCTTTCGTTCTGTTTAATTGTGCCACACACATAAGTTTATCTAACTGGCAATTTGTAAACATATACTTGGATGTCAGTCAGAATTCGGATCGGAACGCCATTTCTTTACAAAGATTGTGGACTGGCATTTCCTAACTGGGTGTGCATGTTCCCCGCCCACCACCCCACAGCCCCCCGCCCGCCTCCCAGTCCCCCACTGGCCTCCCGCATGGAGGCCCTAGGGAGGTGCCCCCACCCAGCCCCCATGTCGCCCCCCCTCCCCTGCTGGGTTTCCCAACAGCCTTGCTAAAGGGGTAGGCCGCAGCTTCAGTCCCGCCCACCGGACAAGGGCGGACCCCGCTGCCACTCACCCACCTTCATGCGACTCTTGTGCACAGTCGGCACAGGGGCTGGGGTCCCTCCCCTCCCCTCCCTCACCCGATGGCCAGCAGCACCGCCACCTGACAGGCGGCAGGAGCGGGGCGGGGACAGTTCTCTTCAGCTAAGCAGGAGCTCGTCCTGGGGGCCAGCAGCAGTTGTGGGGGCGGCTCCCCTCTCCTAAATGCGAACTCACTCAAGGGACCGGCAGGGGGAGACGTGGGGACAGCTGCCCTCAGCCATAGGAGGGCTCACCCTAAGGGTGTCTATTGAGCAAGGTTTGCAAACAGCAAGGTGGGTTAAGAAAAGAAAAAAATCCCACAAGAATGGGAGGGTTTCGGTAGTCCAGCCCCTGGCCATCCCGGGGCAAGGTGTTCTTGGACAGCTCCCGGCTCCCCTGGGAGCAGGGCCTGTGTGGCCGCAGCGCCGGAGGCCGGGCTGAGGTCCTGTCTGCACCTGCCCTGCGTCTGCAGCAGGCACATTTGCAAAGCAGCATTATTGGACAGAAGCAATTGCACCGGAAATGAGTAACCTCTAAAGTATCGGTAATTACACAGAATGAAATGTCCCTCCAGGTCCCTCGGTTACCTCCTCCGGGAGAGCCCCAGCAGGGGCCGGGGCGCGGGCTGCCCCGCTAGGCCGACTGCTCTGCAGCCTCGGTCTCCTGCTCGGACAGCTTCTCCTCCGACAGCACGGACATCCAGGGCGAGGCGGCCCGGGCGCTGCCCTGCCTGGCCAGGCTGTAGTGGTTGATGACCGTGTAGAACTTCTCCCGGGCGCTGGAGTCCTGCTCCGCGTAGTAGCTCTCCAGGCCCTCGGGCACGCACTGTGTGTTCTGGGGAGAGGGGGCCGCAGCGGCGCCAGCGTCAGCCTTGCCCGGCCTGCCGCGAGTTCCCAGAGGGAAGGCTGGGGGCGGGGCCTCGGCCCTCACTGCCTGGGGGCCCCCGCCTGCTCCCCAAGAGGCCTCATACCTCACCCTGACCGGGGCCGCCTCCCACAACCCCGCAGAACTGCCCACGGGATCTGCGAGGCCCACCATCTTCACGGGCACAGCCAGCCAGGCCTTTCTCCCTGGCAGCCAGCTGAGGGACTGGCACAAGGGCCTCTGGGCTAGCCGTGAGCACTTGGCCACTGCACCGCCAGGCCCAGAGACGCCCTGACTCAAACAGATGAGTTGCATCTGCCGCCTCACAGGGACTGGTCCCCGAGGTGGGAGCCGCGTGGACCCAGGGAGGGGAGGAAAGGGAGGCACACAGCAGGTGCAGATGGCACCCCCAGAACAGACCAGTGCTCAGAGGGGGGAGCTGAGATGGTTACAACATAGAATACAATGCTGGGGGGGGGGCTCCTGCCCAACAGCATGAGTGATGGCTATACCAGAGTCGTGGGTGTCACCTACTGTCCAAGACCTAAGGAAGCCACTGGCCAGGCTGGCAGGACCCTGCCCCCTCAGGAACCAGTGCTGGACATACAAGCCAGAACCCACGAAGCCCAGGGTGGGGGCTCCCTCCGATGGCTGTGATTCCAGGGGGGGATATACTGGAGAGAAGCCCCACCCATTTGTCAATGCAAAGGGTGGGGCATCAGTGGGAGGAGCCAGCCCGCTGCTCCCCTTGGGTCAGGCTGGTCAGGAGCCAGATGAGCTCAGGGCAGCCCACAGGCCTGCTGGACACTGGTCAGTGGCACTGCCTCTGGCCCATGTGACACCTTGTCACCTCTCCAAGGCCACCCGAGGCCAAGCTGCCTCATCCTTTCAATGTGCTGATTCATCTGGCACTGCCGGACAGCTCAGCTGGGGATGGGGAAGAGGCCAGGCCTAGTGTCTCCCACGGGGGTCAGTCCTGGTCCTAGCAGAGTCTGAGCATGACCAGGTTTTCCATCTCCACACCTGGGTGACTCCCACCTGGGACAGCTCTGCATCTATGAACAGGGTGAGAGGGTACCATACCAGTTCTTCCTTTGATCTTCAGCGCCTCTGCCACACACACCCCACACCCCACTTCCTAGGGCACCTCCTGCATCAGGGTACGGTCAGCTGGAGCGTCTCCTGTAGGTGGGCTGCCTAGCAATGGGGAAGCCAGCTCCCCCGGTCACCTAGTGCCAGCAGCCTCCCCTGCCCCGCAGCGTCACTCAGGGCCTGGCTCAGTAGCCCAGTCTGCGTGCTTGCCGTGCAGCAGCCCTGGCCTTGCTCACAGAGCCGCTGCTTTGTCATTACTGGCTCTAGGAAGATGGTGAGGGCCCCGTGTGCTGGGGGGG